GATCTAGAAAGATTCAGAAAAATATTCTTCTCATCTTAACTTTACAGCCTTTTACACGATATTCTTCCCTCAAAAACTGAAGTTCTTGTTTCCTCTTTGGAATATTCCTGGACAAACTCTTAATGACAGCAGTACCAATATCAATTTTTGGAAAAAAAGGATTAAACTCAAATCATAATCAATAAATACCATAGAATCTGTAATACAGGGTGGGGCAGAAATACCGGTCACATTTTAAATTGTCACCTGTGTGGTGCTAGTTGACTTAGGCAAGTGGAAATGGTGCCTTTATCTTAGTATTTTTTTATTATCATAACTTGGACCAGTGAACACTGTGCATTTGCTTTTGAAATGTTTTTTAAGACAGGTAAATCTGTAATTGCAACATAGATTTTCATGCACATTTCATGTTATGTTGGAATAATGATGTTTTGGATAGAAAATTGATACTGATATGGGTTGAAAACGTCAGGGCAACAGGCTCATCACTTAAAAGAAAATCACCATTTAAACCTTGAAGTTTTAGATGATGAATGTTATATAGGAATATAAAGTGTCACTGCTGACACTTGTATTTGAACGTAGATTGCAAGTGAACAAACACAGGCGATCTCATTATTGAATTAGGTAGATCACATGACCATAGCGGAAACGCATATATAGAGGAAGTCACGTGACCTCTAGTTGTGTTTGTGATTCTAGTCTATCATAGTGTATTCGCTATTTCTCCTCTATTCCCTATACTATTCGGACTGATATTCTCTTCTCACTATACAAAGTACTATTACTACAAGTATTATTCTAAGACATCTGATATGAGTATTATTCATTGGCATATTATAATTGGTATCTGCTGTTACAAAGTCTCTACTACCTTGGCATTACAAAGTATCCAGCAAGTATATGTTGTCAACATAACAATGGAAAACTGTAGAAATTGTCTACAACAGTGTATGGTGAACACAGGCCATCATTTTTAAAACAGAATGAATAAAAACTGTAGCCCTTTGTTTAAACCTGTGGCTGGCAACCTATGGCATGCGTGCCACACCAAACAATATCCAAGGGCACGCTGCAGCAAATGACATCACAAAGTCCGAACCAATAACTACTAAAACACAAAAAAGATATTTAGCTATTTCAATTTGAATATATATAATAAAGTATATATACTATATATTACTATGTAAAATATATTGTAGAACAGGTATATTGACTTGTATAAAAATACGTATGCTGTTGGCACACTGAATGATTTTAAATGGAAAAGCTATCAAAATAATCAAGAACTTATATTGGCAGCAAACAGAAAGCATGCACATAGGGAATGAGTTCAATAAATATACAAAAATAGAAAGGGGCGTAAGGCAAGGATGTGTCTTCTCGCCTGACCTGTTCAACCTGTACAGGGAGGCAATTCTGAGAAAGTTGGAAACCCTACCAGGATTTAGCATTGGCGGCCACAATCTCAACAACATAAGATATACAGATGACACAGTACTGATAGCAGACACAGAAAAGAAACTACAAAATCTCCTACAGAAGGTAGCAATGGAGAGTGAGAAGAAGGGACTAAGTATAAGCTACAAGAAGACGGAATGAATGGTCATCAGTAAGAGGAAGAGCCTGAAATGCAATTTGCAGGTTGAGAACACTAGAATAAAGCAGACATAGAAGTTTAAATATCTGGGAAGCATTTTGACAGAGGACAGCTAGTGCGACACTGAGATCCATGGACATATTGGAATGGCCAAAGATGTATTCCAAAAGCTGAGCAGAGTATTGTGAGACAGAAGAATTTCTTTGGTAATAAAGAAGAAAATGATACTGAGCTGTTACATGACATCTGTCCTTCTTTTTATACTTTTATAGTGTTTTGACTCCATAGCTAGGACTGTAACAGGTGCTACTACCCTGGGTCAGGGTGGACCTGGGAACAACAGCAATTATCTGTTTGTTTCACACTCTTCAAGACCTGATCAGAGGCCTTGTTGCCAGATGTAGTTCATCGTCATACTCAGAACAGTTTATTTTGGGGACCACTGGTTTAAGAGGGCTATTCTCTTCTTTAGGTGAGATTTTGTTTTGCCTCAAAGCAATGAACAAAATTCCATTCTGAATAAGCAATGAAGATACAGTGGTTGAAATTCCACTTAAAAATGTTTAAAGTTTACATCTGTTATTCCCCCACATATTTAATCTTATGAAATTTCAAGAAATTCAATCACTTAATGTTTATATTAGTTATAAGAACAAGTCTTTGGAGAATTTAAATCATCAAATTATTTTAATCAAACAGTATCCCCAGTTACAGAAAATTTCCTCTTAATCATAAAAGAAAATAATGCAATAAAACAGACATTATTTAATTAGAAACGCTTTTAATTGCTTTTATGAATAAGATATACTAAAGAGACTATTGTCTTAAGAAAAAAATTATAATGAATTTTTACAAGAATTATTTTCATTTTTTTTATTTTAACTAAAAAAAATTAAAACATTATAAACTTTAAATTTTATAATTATTCTTTACATTTGTATCGGTTAGTTGACATTGTTTTTATGTAAAAACTCTTTTTACTAATCATAAAATGAAAAGCTTACTACAATTCAACAACCCTCCCCTACAATATTTTGAATTTTTTTTTGTGTGTATAAACATAGCAATTTTTTTTTACATATGGACATGCATACATACACAACATTATCAAGTATATATATATATTTCATTTTAAAAATCAATCATCATTTTCTTACAAAAAAAAAAGTGAGACACGAGCAAGATGCTGATAATTCAGCTAGTGTGTTTGTGTGTATGTATATATATGTATACACACACACACCATGTTTATCTCCATATAAATGTACATTTATTTTAAAGGAAAAACTTCCCCAGAAATCCCTCTGCATCATCTACTCTGATAAATGGGTTTGTGGTAGATTTAAACTATCTTGCCTGAAAGACTAATCTCCTGATGATCCCAAAATGAAAAATATATAAATATATTTTTCATCATAAAAACAAAACAAAAAAATAGGACATCAACTTGAATAGGACCACCCACAAAATAATGTTTGGAGTAATAGGAAATAATGTTGGATAAAAAATTACATAGATTCCTTAAAAATTATTATATATATATATATATATATATATAAATAATACCTTACATTAAGTTAACTCCAAGTTTCATGCTGAAGCAATTGTCAAGTACTGGAATTACTATTTTTATTTTAGGTTGACACCAGTTTTTCTTGTATTTTTTTTTTTTTTAAATTTTTGGTTCTTATGAGATATTTTATTGTTGTTGTGGAATATTTTATTGTTATTAAAATATTTAAATGAATTTTAGTTTAATTTTGAATTTGAATCTCAGCCCAGATTGAAAATAAGGTTGGAAATAAGTAATTTAAATTCATTGATGTTAAAAAAGTAAGTAAATAAGAAGTGTCATTGAAAAATCAAGGGAGGTAAATACTTTTTTTCAAAAAACAAAAAAGTAATTAATAGATATATTAAATAGCTCTGTTATTTAACATTGAGCACTGTTGTTTCTTACACAATAGAGTATTTCCATGTATTTGTATATGATTGCTCGCTCATATACCTACCTATATTTAACCATTCAGTTATATATATATATATATATATATATAGAGAGAGAGAGAGAGAGAGAGACAGAGAGAGAAACAAGAGGGTAAATCAAAAAGTAATGGCAATTTACATACAACAGCTTTATTTTCACTTATGATGAACAAATGCATATATTACTTTTTGATATAATCCACCTTCATGACAATGCACTACTGGTATTGTTCGACAAGTCTCTTTATTCCTTCCGAAAAGATTTGTTGTTGCTCAAGAAGCCGCGGCTGCTCCATTTGTTTCTTTACGCACCCAATGCACACAAACTTTATGGCTTGTGCAGATCCATAGCTGATGTACACAATTGCCACCACTTATTCAAATCTGATTCATTGGTCATTGCCAATCAAGGTATTGTTCTGTTCGTGAGGTTAATGGGTGACCAGATTGACTTTCCTCTGTTATATTTGTTTATCTCCCTTTAAAGCATTCTACCCACTCTTAAGGCTTTTTTTGATTCATGTGAACTACTTTGTACTGTGCCAACCTGCATTTCCACAGGTTTTACTCCTTTTGCACAGTAAAAATGCTCTACAGCACATTGTTCTTTGATAGTGCAATTGCTGAGTAAAGCGTTCCTACGTCTAACCTTGTTGCTCCTTACAATTCAACTGAATGCTGCACACAGCCAGCTACACATCACCTCATGTGCATGCATGCTGTTGCACATCAGCACCTCCCTGTTGATTTTACTGCATAATTTCAAAATTGCCTTTATTTTCTGATTTATCCTCATAGCTCAATATCTTGCTATGAAGTCAACACTTGTAAATCATTTTTACAAATCGTTAATCATAAATTTACATGTACTCAGGATCTGCTGGGCAGAGTGTCTATGACAGAATGGCAATAAGATATCAAAAACTTATCAGAGCTACCTCCCTTTCAAGTTGAAATTGGCAAAGAGAAGAGAATGAATCATTAGCAAGAAGAATCATGTTTTAAGGAAATGATAAGGAATTTTATGGCTCTCCAAAGGGAACAGCTCCAGGCAGTAGTGTTTCCGACATTGTTCAAAAATAGTTGATGCTTTGTTTCAGGATTAATGTATTGCTATGATATGGAAAGCAACAATGTGTGTAACTCATTTCAAACGAGATGTTGTGAGATTATCTGCTACAGACTTTAACCAGCTGGTTCTCATATATATATATATACACACACACACACCCACCTCCAGCTGTATTATTCATATTGATTGGGTTTCTATTTTTTTATGTGCATGCTTAAAAACAAACAGAGCATCTACTCAAACATGGGTATCTACAAAATAACATTTTATAACAGGAAATAATGTTGAATAAAAATAATTCATTGATTCCTTAAAAATATATATATTCTTTTTTATTTGCAGGCTTTTCAAGATCTCTGCAAATGCATCATAGATAAGCAAAATATACGACGACAAATGCAGTACATGGATCCAAATCCAAACCTTGTGCATCGTCAAAGGAGTAGGACTCTTTCACTGTCATCAACACCTGAGATTCCCGGAGAGGCAGACCAAGAAGCCAGCTGGACCTGCTGTGCTCGCATTGTGTAACAATCAGCCTACACTCACCTGATGTAATGAGGGTGAGTGTGTGGCTTGAGACTTTATGTGGACCTCATGGTCAGTCCAAAGATAAACTTGGGTAGTGGAAAGGAAATCCTTGTCCAGTAATAATTAAAAAGAAAAAAAAAATTATATGAATAAACTCTAATTTTTTTTCTTGTCTCAGGTTGTTTGAGGATAAAAGCTAACTCAAGAAAATATGTTTGTGGGCAATTATAATAATTAATTAACAATTATAATAATTAATTAACAATGAAAAAAGAATAAAAAGTAATATTTTAATATACTATTTACATATAACCTGTGATTAAAATAATAAAAACCTAAAATGTATCCATTATTCTGATGACAAAGTAGAATAAAAAATAAGTAAAAAAAAACAAAAAAAAAACAGTCGGGCTTTACAGAGGGGATATAGGTTTTAAGCACCCCTCAAGCATGATGCTGACTGTGAAGCCAATAGGATAATAGAATCAGTATATTTAGACATTTTCTGTCTAATTCACAAATAATTTTCTTTGTATGAAAAAAAAAAAATTGTTTTAAAACAATTATTCCAGAAAACATTCGAATTGTAAATTGTTTGAATGAAAATTAATCAAAAGGACAATTATACTAAATGATAATTATTTGAAGTATGTGGTCTTGCTTTGAGAGAGTCTTGAAGGATGGCATAAGGCTTTTTTGCAGCAAGTGTCATCCCATCATACTTCAATATGGAAATTCTTAAATGCTTTTAAAAGATAACAGGACTTGCAAGAAATTTTAATGAGTATTCCTCAGTAGACTATTTGCAAGCAGTATCATATAACTTAAGGTTATAAGGACTTTTTTCTTACTAAGTTGTTTTATTAACGATATTTGTATTTCAAATAATTATCATTTGTGTATTTCCTCTTTTAATTTTTACATTTTTATTGCATTAAAGAATTTTGAATTTCAAATAATTATCATTTAGTATAATTGTCCTTTTGATTAATTTTCATGCAAACAATTTACAATTCAAATAATGTTCACATAATTATTTTCGTTGTGGAAGAGAGAATTAGTTGTGAGGATGGAAAACATTTCAGTCATCAATTTAATGACTCTGATTTCGACAGTTTTTAAGACATTTAAACTGATTCTTTTAAAAGATTATTTTCAAAATACTGTTCTTATTAAAAGACTTATATCTATTTTTCTCCTTTGTGTTTTACTTCAGTAAAAACTAATTGGCCAAAAAAGCCAATTACTTTTTTGGTGATTCTGAGCATGGTTAGATTCTATTAGATTTCAGGTAGGAATCTATTTAAAGTAATTATATTTTATTCAATTGACATATATATATATTTTAAGGGTGCATAGAGAAACCCTGACACTAAATTCTTGATTAATGTAACTGATGTTTATTTTATTATTTACTAGTCTGTTTTTAAATTTTTCTTTCCTCAGTATTGTACTTTTAGTAAAAACAAAAAACTATTTTGTAATTTCACTTTAAAGAAAATGCAATAATTCAAGATGTTTTTTATCAATTAATCAAATTATGATTTCTGCACAAACATATTTTGAAGTTTGTTTTATTTTTCTTAAATGAACTTATATTTTAAGACAACAAAGACTGCAAACCTATGTGCCTGACTGCTTTCAACAATATTCTCTTTGCCAAAGACAATTTGAAGACTTATTTGAAAGATAGACAACATCAGCCAAAAAAAAAAAAAAAAAAAAAAAAATGGCGAAAAATAAAACACTTAAAGCTGTATGTCTGGGTTGATATTTTTCATTTTTGTTTTTACGAAAATCATTTTTGTTTTGAATGATATTTATTCCTCAGCATCAGAACGAATCTTTTTATTCAACAGAATCAAATTTTATTTAATGGAGAGATTACTCTTTAGTTAATTGAGGAAAATAATTGCCATTGTTTAAAAATTTTAACTTTATTTTTATTGTAGTAGAGAAATATGAATCGGAATTTAATGAAATTTAACAAATTAAAAATACCACATGATAGAACATTTAAGTGAACATTATATTCATATGGTGAAGTTTGGAGAAAGACGTTGATGAACTACATGGAATGTCACTCAAGTTAGAATCATTTTTACAAATGAATTAAGTAATGAAAAACTCTTATATTAAGTCAGTGTGCATATTATTAAGTTAGCCATATTACATATATAAATATACCTGATGTTTCCTATTCAGCCATCTTGATTTTTTTTTTTCACCCAAAATAGTTCTCATTTTGTGTGTAATCTTTTGGCTATTAAGGTTTTAGCTAAACTGGTGGGAATTTCCTTCTTCCTGCTATCTGCCATTTTTTATCCTTTCTTTATGTTTTTAAACAAAATCTATAGGCTTGATTAAGATTGAACATCTTACTGACTCACCCCCAACCAAATATTTCCCAATAACAGCTCAATTTTCAAATCCAACCAAAATGTTAAAAATAGTGTGGGTTCCAGTAATTGATTTTTCATTTACCTACTTGAATATTTGAGAAATCTTTGAGAAAAACATGCACTCTGGCAGGATTTGAACCTGCATTCCTCTGGGCAGAGGCAAACTGTTGTTAGAGCTGACGTGCCCTAAACGACTCAGTCATGGAACAGTAAAGTCTGAAACATGTCTTTAAGCAAAATCCTTCTTGCATTAAATTCCTCAAAATTGGTCGAATTGGTTAAGGCATGTCAGATCTAACAAGTTTCCATCGTCCCAGAGGAATGCAGGTTCAAATCCTGCCAGAGATTATATATATTTTTCTTTAATAAAATTTCTCTAATATTTAGGCTGATAGATGGAAATAAATAAATAAATAAATATACTGTTTAATAAATAAATGGAACATCTACTCAAATATGAGTATCCACTAAAAATAATGTTTAAAGTGATAAAAATCAGTTATATATATCTCATTTCACCCCAAGCAAAACAATAAAGCCACTAAGACAACAGACGCAAAAGGTTATGGTGTGTGAAAGAAATGTAAGTAAAAGAAAAACATTATTAAGAAGAAAGAGCAATAAAAGAATAGGAATTAAAAAGACAAAAAATAACGATTGACATTGCATTTAAATTTTTAAACATCAAATTTGACTGAAAAGCAAGAAGCTGGAAAAGAGTTTCACAAGTGAGAAGTGCGAGAGAAGAAACTGTTAGCATAGAACTTACAGTTACAGCTAGCTATTTCAACTTATTTCTAAGGAATTAATGGAAAATAACAATCAGGCTGAAAGAAAGGAAGAAATTTACAAAAGATAAAGAATAGATTTGAAGCAAAAGTGATGCTGTTCTACAGAAGGATGCTGAGAATAGCATAGATGAAACATCTTTTAAATCATTTCAAACATTAAGAATGGAGAACAATAAAAGAAAACAAAACAAAAATACCATAGATAATGATTGACATTGAATTTAAATAAGATCAGACTGGAAAGCAAGAAGCCAGAAGAGAGTTCCACAAGCAAGAAGTGTAAGAGAAAAAAAACTGTTAATGGAGAACTTATGGTTACATCTAGCCAATTCAACTATAAAATGATGAGACTTAGCTATATATATATATATATATATATGATTTGAATTAAAAATTTACATATATCTGTGTATGGTAGTAAATCTTCTTATGTGTCAAGGTACAGTGATTAACATTTGTCTATTTCTTAAGGATATAGGATTTGCTCAATGGCAACTTATTGTATTTGTTGCAATCATATTTTATACAGGGGTGTTGGGGGTTGTAGAGTCTAACAGTTTGTGGGGAGGGTGAATTTGACATGCCATTTTGTTTACTTCGCACTACTGCTCTTGGGAAAGGCATGAATCCATCTTCCCTCCAGCTATGGGTTAAATAGCAGGTTAGACTGGGGTCTCTTGCCTTGAAGTGGAAACTAGTCTAGAAAGAAAACAGAATTCAGAACCAGTCTGGAAAGAAATGGGCTCTTGCCTAAGCCACACCATTGCTGCTATAACTGCAGTACATGTGTTAGCCCTAATAGGTTTCAGGGCTTGTGATATGAGAGGAGTGTTGGCCTGATACAAAACTTAATTTCTTGGAATCAGCTAAACTGTAAGTTTTCTATTGCTGTAACTCTCATATAGCTCAGGATTTGCCAAACTTCTCAGTTTTGTGAAGCCCTTGAGCTGAATAAGGATTTTATGCAGAACTTTAACAATTTAATCTTTAAAAATATACATGAAAAAAGAGACTTTATTTTTAACAACTTCTAAATTACTGATCTGTTCAATATAAAGTTCATTCATTTATTCATGAATAAAAACTGAAAACTTTATTTAAATTAGATAATTGTCTTCTTTATGTGCCATATCCATTCAGAACATTACCAATCATAGCTCTCCACAATTTCCTTTCCAGATCTTAGTAAATTTTGTCTTTTTCTTATCTCTCCTAAACCCTCTTCTGACATCCATATAATCAAGCTCAATAGATATGTTATGCATTGTTTTCCTCTATTCCTCTTGCCTTCAACATGTCCTGTGAGTATTAAATTTTCCAAACCCTCTTTCATCATTATGTGCCATAGGAATTTCAACTATCTCTTCCTGATGTTAAGTGTAAGTATCCTTTTTGTTTCCATTTTCACTAAAAATTTGTTGTTGTTCATGTTTGGTCCATGGTATTCTCAAAATCCTTTTGTAGAACCATATTTCCGTTGCTTCTAGTCTCTTCTTCCACTTTGGGGAAATTGTCCAGAATTCACTGCCATATCGGAGGAGTGATATTACATAACAGTTCAATATTCTTTTCGTTGTTTCTAACAAAATTTTTCTGTTTCATAATATTTTGCTTAGCTTTTGGAAGGTATCTTTCGTTATCCCAATGTGCTTTCAATTTTTAGTGTTGCACATTCCATCAAATAAAAAAAAAAAAATTTATATTTTTTGTACTTTTTGGTTTTGGTATCTCCAATTTGTAGTTTACATGTTCGGCTGTTGTTTTTGCTGACAACCAAGCATTCTATCTTCTTGCAACTGATATTTAG